TTCTGTGACTGGGCACTACAAGCCATAGCCAAAGTAAGTTCCATGAAACTCACCCTCAATCAGCTTTTTAAACCTGGACACTGATGACCTGGTCAGTGGAGGCCTTTGGACACTTTGAGGTTGCTGCTGCCTGGAGGAGGGGGTACTGTTGCTGAAAGAGGTGTAGAGTGGGGAGATGCTTGAGGAGGAGATCGCCTGGGATGCAGCTACCAGAGGAGGAAGTAGGCCACCTAGTAATTTCTTATTTTCAGTCATTTTTCTTGCTAACAGGGTTCTGACTTCTTTCTTTCCATTTTCTGCCTCTAAATGTGGCACCTTGGTACAAAGCCCACATTGCTCTGCCCTAATTAAAGCTTTGTTTACAAGTTATCCATTGTGTGACTGCAGAGTCCGTGGTAGTGCCAAAGCCTCCCTGCAAAACTCCAAAGTTCTACTCTTAAGGAAGAGGCTCTTTATTCTTGGTGATGGAGTGGGGGTGATTCAATGCAATTCAATTCAACAATCATTTGCTGAAGAACCTACTGTGTGATAGGAAATGTAGGACTTGGGTTTGATTATAACAGTTAACGAAGCATCCTTGGTCAAGTAAGAAATATCTTAGTAGATGTCTCTCCTAATAGAATATAAGTTCCTCTAGGGGAAAGTCTGATTTATTTCTGTGTTTGTATCCCCAGTCCCTGGCAACAGTGCCTGGTCCACAGTGGCTGCTTAATAAATGCATGTTGATTGATTCTACTAAAGATTCAAAATGTTATTTCTGGGACTTTCTCCCCCTCCTCATCATTATTTCACAATCACACCATTCTGCAAAATGGCACAATAGTAAAAGTGCTAGATTTACAGTCATACAACTGACTTCAAACCCTGGCTCTGCTATTTACTCCATGCGTAAGTCACTTCATTTCTTTGTTCCTCAGTTTCCCTTTCTGCAAAATGAAGTTGTTGGACTAGGTGACCTCTAAGGTCTCTTCTAGCTTTAAACCCAGGATCTGTCATCCTTAATCTTCCAAAACTGGATTTCTTTTCTGAGTTACACCCATAAAGGGTGAAGGATCATGGGATTTGGAACTTGAAGAGACTGTAGAACAGAGATATTAAACAAATGGTCCATGGGATGCATCCCACAACACTGTGGAGTGGGCCTGAACCATATTAAAATGTAATTGGGAAATATTTAACAAACTAAATCAAAATGTAATAGAACCTAGATAATGTTGACATGTGGTTTTCTAAGTCAACATGCAGCCTGAAGGCATCCTTATATGTGGTTTAGTGACCCCCATTCCTACTTGAGTTTGACACCACTGCTTTAAAATAAAGACTCATGGGGCAGCTAGGTGGCAGAATGGATAGAGCATCAGTCCTGTATTCAGGAGGACCTGAGTTCAAATCTGGCCTCATATGCATAACACTTACTGGGTGTGTGACCCTGGGCAAGTCACTTAACCCCATTGCCTAGCCAAAACCCCCTCCCCATAAAATAAAGACTCATTGGATCATAGATTTAGTGGTAGAGTGGACCTTAGTGGTCACTTAGTTCAACATTCTCATTTTTAATGAAGAAACTAACAGCAGAGGAAGTCCAGGAACTTAAACAAGGTCACACACACACACACACACACACACACACACACACACACACACACACGCTATGGCAGAACTGGGATTCCAACCCACTGCTCTGACTCCAAATGCACTGCTCTTTCCACATGCCCAGATGACTTAAGTTATGGGCTTCCTCTCTCCTTGAGACTGGGCTGCATTGGTGCTACTTCAGCAGACGGGGGCTCTGTCTTTAAAGGCAAAGGCCTCTATCATTCCCCACCCTATCATTATTTTTATCTTATGCTGTTTATGCCTGGAATGCTGGCAAGACCCCAAGCCACCCTGACAGGATGTTGGACATAGGCTTGCCACCACCCCAGGCTTGGCCATGTGTGGGCCCAGCAGCCAGAGGTAAGGTCCCAATCAGGGCTTAAAGCACCTCTGATTCCTTCAGGTAATAAATAACCAATACCTTCTTACAGCTTTGACAATGGCTCCTGAGATTTGGGTGTCCAGGAAGCTATAGAATGTAGTTGGTTGGATTGGACTCTCCACTGTCGAGCCCTGTAAACCCCTGAGATTGAAAACAGTTTTGTTATTCACGAAGGGGAACCACATAGAAAGGGTAATGGAAAGGTGGGATTTTGTACAGATCTGGGTAGTGCATTGGACTTGAGGTGGGAACTAACTCTGAGTTCTACCCCTTATTACTGCTTGGCAAGTCTTCAATTTTCTCCATCTCTCAGTTTCCTCATCTGCAAAATGGGGATGATACCTTGAAGGGTTTTGTGGACGGAGTGTAGCACAATGGGAGAGAGCGCTGTGGGACCTGGCACAGTGCCAGGCACATAGTGGTTGCTTAATAGATGCTTGTTGATTTGACTTGATGACTTGAATGGGTTTGTGTCCTGGATTTCTACTTATTACCTTTCCACCTGACCTTAGACAAGTCACTTAATTTCTCTGACCTCAGTTTCTTCACCTGTAAAAAGTGGGGGATTAGACTAGGGAATATCTAAGGTTTCTTCCAGCTCTAGATTTGTGAGAAACTGAGAATATCTGTGAAGCACTTTGTAAATAATAAAGACCTCTGGGTGTGCAAGGTTATGATGATATGATATCAAACACAAAGAAATGTGTCCCATAGTATAGTGGAAAGAGCTCTTGGCTCAGCTCTGTTACTGACCCATATGTGCAGGAGCAAGTCACCGAGTGTCTGAGTCTTTCCTTACACTTTGTTATGGCACAATACTCTTCTCTTATATTGAGCTGTCCCTATTATTGGATATATGGAAAATACTTTGTAAACTTTAAGTGCTATATAAATAAAACAGGAATTAATAAGAGCGTACATTTAGTGCTAGAAGGGACTTAGAGGTTATGTGGCCCAACCTCCTTCATTTTACAGAGAAGGAAACTGAGGCCCAGTTCACTAGTCTGAAGTCTCAGACTGGCAGAGCCAGCACATACTCTACAAATTTAGTGCTTTTTCTACTGCCCCTATTTGTCAAATGAGGGGGATGGAGAGGATTATACCCTATGGATAAAGGAAAAAAAATTCATCTTATCTGTATAAAACTCTCCATAGCAACTTCATTTGTGAAGAAAGAAGGAAATAGAAAAGAGGAAAGAGAAATTGAGGAAGAAGAAGGAGAAAGAGAGGAAAGGAAGAAAGAAGATAGGAAAAAAGAGGGAAAGAAGAAAGGAAAAAAAGAAGGAAGAAGGGAGGAAAGGAAGGAGAAAAAAGATAAGAAGGAAGAAAGGAAGAAAAATTCTGAACCTAGAAATAGCTCACAGTAGAAGTTTAACAGTTGGGAAATAGCTGAACAAGTTGTGGTATATGACTATGATGGAATGCTATTGCACAGTAAGAAATTACAAATCTGAATACAAAGAAATATGTTGAGACTTACATGAAGTGATGGTGATTAAAGAAAGCAGCGTATATATATGCATATTACATAAACATGATAATAGCCACCAAAATAAATAAAAGAGTAGGCAGAAGAAAAGAGAACAGAAGGGAATAGGGAAGCAAATAGGACTTTTTACAAAGCTATTTAGCCAAGGTTAGTAATATATATATATATATATATATATACACACACACACACACATATATACATATATATATTTATAATACATTTATTATATATTACAAATATATCATATTATATATATTAAAATAAAGAAAAGGAGGAGGCAGGACCAGGTGATTTCTAAGACCTCTATGAGGGTCAAGACCTCTGTTCACTGTGACTGCCAGATTCTTCCAATATCTCTCTTCCTCTGCCTGCACTGGGGAGATTGGGCCAGTATTAATTAGTGCTTATGACAGACTTAAGGGACAAGAAGTAGTGGGAAGAAGAGATATAGCAGAGGAGAGGGCTCCAGTTGAATCTTGATCCCAACATCAAAAACAGTGTGGAAAGTTTCTTTCATGATGAAATCCCTATTGCCCTGTGGTGAAGGGCTCAGTTCCTTGGCTGTGCAGGTCGCCCTGCTTAGCTCTGGCCCTAGCTAGTTATTTGTAGAGAGTGATGTAGGTAAGAGGCACAGTAGGGTCAGGATGAGGACAGGGGAGACCTGTAGGGAAATTTGAGGAAGTCAAGAGTAAGGTGGGGGGAACGGCAGAGTAGGCAGGGCTAAGGAGCTTTGGACCATCATTCTCTTGGTGCCCCCATCCTACAGGAGTTCTTCATCCCAAGTAAGGGGGCAGAGGTGCTGGCCATCCCTTGCAGCCAGTTCCTAGGAATCATTCCTGGGGGCGTATGGCCTAGCTGTTGCTTAGACTAGTGACAGCCCTTTGCACTGTTACGGGCAGGGGCAGGTGGGATCACTCTCCTTATCAAATCTCACTGCTTGGTTGCAGTTGCTGACATTGAAAGTTAGAGCTCCTCTAGGATTCAAATGATAATCTCTTTAAGCCTCACTTTCTTCATCTGTAAAATGGGTATAGGAGTTGGAGGGATGTGTGATGGTGAAGGATGGAGCAGACTGCTCTAATATCCTGACTTTGGATGAGAGGAAAAGCAGACACCTTATCAGAGAAATAACTTCATGTGTGTCTTGGATGCTGGAACTCTTCTGCCCTGGTTACTACTCTCCATCATTTCTCCACCCCACCTTCCTATCTCCCCCCCACCCTGCCATTTGTCTACTTAAGAGCTCTTCTGTCCATCTGTTTATTTAAATGCTCTCTGCCCTGCTCCCTTGCTGCTGCTGTCCCAGAATCGGGGATCTCCCAGTGTGGTTAGAATGCCGACAGACACACCTCCCCCGCCCCTCTGCTGCCCTGAACTTGAATGTTTCCATCCCGGGACATCAGCAGCAGCCTTTCAGACAAAGCAGCCCATTGTGCTCCCTGTCCCCAGCTTCTCCCAGTGGTCACAGGGAAGAAGGCGTCTTTTAGCACTTCTGACCCCAAAGGGCTCTCCCTAACCCTAGGCACTTACCTTTCATGGTCTTGTTGTAAGGCAGGAGCCAGAGGTGGAAGGTGGTGCAAGGGGCTCTTGGGGAGCTTCAGATGCTTCTTGGAATGACCTGGGAGGGGGTAGCTTTGGTGGCCCGAGACAGGATGGCAGGTGACCCCCTACAGCACTATACAAAGCATCTTAGTGCCCCTCTCAACCTAAGGGCTCCAGTGAGGAAGGGATTAGCTTTCTGGACTCATCCTTAGCCTCTGGACCTCTCTCAGGGCTTCCTCAAAGGCCTGGGCTTTGAGGGTTTTAGTTCATGCCCCAGGTTAGAATAGTAGCCCGCGGTGACTCCTCCCCACTGGCATTTGCTGCCTAGGGCCTGGAGCTGCCACAGCTGTTCTCTCTAACCATTCCTCCCCGCTCACCCATCAGCTAGGAGTCACCCTCTTTCCCACTAGACATCCAGACTCCAAGTGTGTGATCCAGGCTTCCCGTGCCTCACTCTCCTTCTCCTCCCTCTCCCAGCCTCGTCACTTCTTGGGCCAGAGCCCAGATCAACTTCCTTGGTATTTTTGAAACTGCCGCGGCCAGGACTTCTTTGTGTGGCTGTTTCGTCCCTGTGAACCGCCCCCCTGTTGCCCCCGCTCCCCTTCCACCTTCGACAACACCCTTGAAACTCCCCTTTGGTGGCTCACACCCACCTTGTCCCCACTGGGAGAAAATATTAGCAACTCCCTAGGGCGGGGCAGACTGGGATGCTTTCAGCTGACAGGCTCAGGGAAATCTGACACAAAACTCTTCTGCTTCCCCCAGCCCACTCTCTCTGGTCTCCCTCCCCTCCCCTGCTCTCCAGCCCTCCTCCTATCCCCACTCCCTAGTAACTCTAATTGCTAGCAAATGTCAGGTTTCTGACTGTGCTTAGAGGATTATAGAATCATAGGACCTCAGGGCTGGAAGGGGACTCAGAGGTCGTCTAATCCAAGGTTTGTTGGGAGGATGGAGTTTTCTTTAAGGAGAGAGTGGAACATTTCCTGAAGCCACCGGGCCAGGAGAGAACTGGAGGTCCTATTAAAGAGTATAACTTCCAGAAATGGGGAGGTGAGAGTCTTACTCTACTCTGCCCCATCAGACTTCATCTGCGGTATTGTACTGAATTCCATATCCACATCATGTTGTTATTAGTTCTAGGTGATGTCTTAATTTGCAAGTGAATTGGATTTAAATGAGGCAGAGCTGTGCAAAAGTTATTAGCCTTACTCTTTCCTCCAGAGTCATTGGAGTCCAATGGCAAGACTTCCTCTGCAGTATTGCATTGAGTTCCATCTCTGTGTCATATAAGGACCATTTGAAAGAATTTCAGATGTTTAGCCCAGGGAAGAGAAGACTCAGCGGGATATGATAGCTGCATTCATGTATTTGGAGTGCTATTGCATGGAGGAAGGATTAGATTTGTTCTGTCTGGCCCCAGAGTGAAGAGCCAGGAGCAATGGGGAGAAGTAGCAAAGAGACCGATTTAAGCTTTTAAGTCGGGGGATCCCTTTCAGTTCTTAGGCTCTGCAATTCGATGAGATACGATTGGCCAGGATCTCTAGAGTTCTGTGGCTCTTTATCGTCCTCTGGAGGGTATGTTCTTGGGTAAGCCTAGAAATCTGTGGTTCACCCTTTTGGATGGCTCTGCTGAAGCCCAATGGAGAACCACAACTTGTTCAATGAAGCATAGAGGTCCTTCCCAGCATACCCTCAATTGTCTTTTGTCCCTATCCTGGTTCAAAAGATGGGTGAGTTTTAACTGGCCCATGGGCTATCCAGTTATTGGCCATGGGGACAAGTGATGGGAGAGGGTCAGCGGGCATGTTTTGTGGATGGAATCCATCATCTATGTAGAGAGCATCCTGGTTGAGTAACTCACATAGGGTGTTGTTGTGAGTGAATTCAGCCAGTGATGCAGTTATCTTGCTGATCAGTCATTCAAAGTGCCTCGGTGTAGTGGACTGAGTGCTGGCCTTGGAGTCGGAAAGACCTAGGTATGAATCCTATTTCTGATACTTATTAGCTGTAGGACCACGAGTAACTTCCTTCACTTTGCTGAGTCTTTGTTTCCCATTCTATAAAATGGGGAGAAATAGAATATAAGCTTCTTGAGGTCAGAAACCACATCACTTTTGCTTTTGAATCCTTGGGCCAGTTACACAGCAGTCACTTAAATGTTTGCTCCATTGAACAGAGGCATAAATACATCCCACGCAAGGCAGTGTTGTGTGCAGGAGATAGATAAATGGACTTGAAGTTGGGAATATCACACACACAGTGGTTTCATGGCCCTGGATTGACTCTGTCATAAACAGGATGATGATTCAGCACAGAAAACTGAAAATGAGTGCAGTCAAACGCTCTTAAAAACCGGGGCAGGGGTCTTCCATGGTAGATCCTGATGGAACACCCAGATGAACCTGGTCATGCTGCTTAATGTCTCAGGGTCCCTGGCAGCACTCTAAGGTTGTAAGTTGCAAAGCAGCTGCCAATCTGCTTTGGTAGAGGAGATTTTCTTCTAAGAGGTCCCCCATGGCAAACACCAATGAAACAGCTCCAGTCGTCACCACCACCACCACACCACCACCACCATTATAAGCTTTGCTGTGTGCTGCCTCACAGTGTTGTGGTTCAAAGTAGATACTATGTGTCAAGAACTTTATAAACCTTAAAATGCTGTATGTGTCACAGTAACTACTATTGTTCAATCAGTCATTCTTGGTAGGCAGTTGCTAGCTAGGTTTCACTGCCCAGAAATACCAGGAAGTTCTTCCAAAATGAGGAACTAAATTAATACCTTTAAATGAGGAAGAATACAGTCTAGGAGGCTGGTAACTGGAAAATGTGGTACAAGACCAGACGGGTGGTCTACGGTTGATGTTAGAGAAGGTTCTTGTAGGAACAACAATGAGCCATTTTGGTGAGTACGTTGGGGACCACTGAGATGGTGTAGGATGTTTCTTCTACATGGAGGGGCTTTAATGAGGTTGAGAGAGTCGCCTGCCTTAGGTCTTTGATGGCTTGGCAATGCCTAGTGCATTCCATGGAGGCTTTTGCTGGAGGGATGGCTATCTTGGGGTGTGTACATGTCATAGCACCGCACACAGAACTTAACTATCCAATGGACCGACGGCCATCACAAAGCCCAGGGCAGGAGTTTCAGTGTTTTCCATTATTTCTCATGTCCTGCCATGGAATAATTTGTACACTACAGATCAATACAGTCAGGAGATCTGGGTTTGAATCCCACATTAGACATTTACTGTGTAATGATGGACGAATCATGTAACCTTACCTTCAAAAGGAGATAATAATTTTATACCATCTGCCTCATAGGGTTGTTATGAGAAAAATACATCCTCCATGGGAGTAGGAATTGTTTTATTCTTTGTACTTGCATCCCTGCTTATCATCCCCCTTCCTGTACATTCTCTCATCCATGGTTTTGGTTTTTTGTCTTTGTCTTCTTCTTCTTCTTCTTCTTCTTCTTCTTCTTCTTCTTCTTCTTCTTCTTCTTCTTCTTCTTCTTCTTCTTCTTCTTCTTCTTCTTCTTCTTCTTCTTTTCTCCTCCTCCTCCTCCTCCTCCTCCTCCTCCTTCTTCTTCACTGCTATCCCTTGACTTTCCTCTTGCCTGTCCAATCACTCCTTTCTAATTTCTTTTGCTGAATCATCATCCATATGCTATCCCCTTACAGTTTGTGTCCCCCCGCCCCTTGAAGGCTTTTGTTGTTGTTCAGCAGTTTCAGTCACATCTGACTCTTCATGACCCCATTTGAGATTTTCTTGGCAAAGATACTGGAGTGATTTGCTATTTCCTTCTCCAGATCATTTTACAGATAAGGAAACTGAGGCAAATGGGCTCAAGTGACTTGTCCAGGGTCACATAGCTAGTAAGTGTCCGGGGTAGATTTGAACTTAGGAAGATGAGTCTTCCTGACTCCAGGCCTGGCACTCTAACCACTGTGACAGCTAGCTGCTCCATCCCCATTTGAAGAAAGGCAACAGAGGTTAAGTGATTTGTGCAGGGTCGCATAGCTAGTAGTGTCTGAGGCCAGATTGAATCCAGGTCTTCCTGATTCCAGGCCCAGCCCTTTGTAGATTTAGAGTTTTTAGGGCCCCCTATATTCACCTGGTTCCACCACCTCATTTTAGAGATGAGAAAACTTAGAAGCAGAGAGGTCAAATGATTTACCTGGTGTTACATAGGTCTAGGTCTTAAATAGCAGTGGCTGGAGGTAAACCCAGGTCCTCCAACTTCCAGTTCAGCTCTTTTCCCACTCCTATATGCTGCTCCACTTCTGGAAAGTTCTTACAAACCTGAGAGAGGAGAGAAGAATTTCTGGAGGGATCAGTATTTGAGTTCCCTCAAAATAAACTAGGATGGGGAGGAATTAAACATACGAAGAAGGGGAGGAAGGATGTTACAGGTCTAGAAAAGAGTGCAAGTAATCAATAAGCATTTATTAAGTACCTACTGTGTGCCAAGCACTGGGGATACAAAAAAAAACCCAACCCAAACAAACCTGGTCCCTGCTCTAACAGAGCTCACCATGAAATGAGGGAGACAACATGCTAACAACTACATGCAAACAAGATATATACAGAATAAATTGGAAATAGTTAACAGAGAGAAAGGACAGCTAGATGGCCCAGTGGATAGATCGCCCAGCCTGGAGTCAGGAGGACCTGAGTTCAAATCTGGCTTCAGACACTTTACTAGCTGTGTGACCCTGAGCAAGTCATTTAACCCCATTTACCTCAGTTTCCTCATCTGTAAAATGGGCTGGAGAAGGAAATGACAATCCAGCATTCTTGCCAAGAAAACTCCAAATGGAGTCATGAAGAGTCAGATGTGATTAATTAATAAAACAACAATTGAGAGAAGACACTAGAATGAAGGGGGATAGGGAAAGGCTTCTTGTAGAAGGTGGGATTGTAGTTGGGACTTGAAGGAAGCCAAGAATTCAGCAGAAAGAAAGGGAGAGGGAGAGCATTCCAGGCGTTGGGGACAGCCAGTAAAAATACCCAGTGTCTGGAGATGAAACAGCAAGGAAGCCAGTGTTATTGGATTGAGGAGTGTGTGGTTAGGGTGTGAGTTATTAGAAGTCTAGAAAAATGTGTGGAGTGGGGTGGGGGGAGGAGGTTATGAAGGACCTTGAACACCAAACAGAGTATTTTATATTTGATTCTGAAGGCAATAGGGAGCCACTGAAATTTATTGAATGGGACAGAGCATATTATCAGATCTGCACTTGAAGAAGACTGACACTAAAATAGAAGACTGAAGTGGGAAGAGACTTGGGAGAGGCATGGGGGCATCCAACCAGCAGGCTATTGCAATAATCTGTGAACCATGAGGTGGCATAGAGGCAGCTAGGTTACCAGTGGATAGAGCTCTGGACCTGGAGTCAGGAAGATCTGAGTTCAAATCCAGCCTCAGACACTCATTAGCTGTATGATCCTTGGCAAGTCATTTAATCTCTATCTGCCTCAGTTTTTTCAACTGTAAAATGGGGATAATATTCAGTTCTACCACTCAGGGATCAAATGCAATAATATTTGTAAAAGCACTTCACAGTGCCTGGCACATAGCAGGCATCTAACAAATGTTTCCTTTCTTTCTGCACCAGAATAGTGGCCGTGTCAGAAGAGAAATGAGGACACAGAAGAGAGATGTTACAAGGGGAAAA